AGAAATGCCTGCTTCACGATTGGCGCCCGGGACTCTTTGAAACCGACGTTGGACTTTGACTCTAAACTGGGTTCAGGTACGGTGCGAAGCATATACCGGTAAGCATCATGTGCCGTTAGAAGGCCAATCAATTAGGAATCAGGATCTTGAATTGATTCTTGTTCTTCATTGAGATTGAGATTGACAGCAGCTCCGACCGTGTTGGAGCACAGGAGCACTACACAAGCGCACCACGCGCTGCTTGCCAAGGGTCGCCATCTTCGAATTTGTGCCCGCCAAGTCAAATCAAATCAAATGAAATGAAATGAAATGGAGCAGCGTGGATTGGCCGGACGAGCTGTGGTGCAGGTGTGGTGGACAGGTGGAGCATGCATGCAGATATATGCGCTGCCGGCTCACAGATCTGCTGAGGCGAGATGCTCCGCGGGTGCCTGGCTGTACTGTATGTGCCCTCTCTGACCCTCTGACTTGACGTTACCCGTCGTGGATGCTACCCATCCAGGAGGCCCTGCTTGGGTGCGTGCAGCAGCGTGCATATCTGCTCCCACCGACTGCCGTTGCATCAATCGTCGACTTGAATTCAAAAGTCACGCTACTGCGACTCAAAACTGCCGGCCGCGACATCATAGGCCGGAAGGCCGAGCGAGCGAGCGAGCGAGCGAATCATGTGGCAGCGCGCCTCAGCCACGCAGCATCAGCAGCAGCAGCACGGCAATTATCGCGTGACTCAAACTGCGCGAGGAGCAGGCGACTTTCTGATCTTCATTCACACTCACCTCGTCGGTGCAAACTTCCTGCTGCTTTTTGTTCTCCTTCTGCTCACGATCAGCCTACCGACAGTCACTTCCTCGCTCACACTAACTGATCCTCTACCACCACCACCATCATCCAGCAGACAGCAAGTTCTAAGATCAGGAGAACAAGCACTGCTCAGCCTTGTCCCCCTTTCAAGCCGCTTTGACTGCTATTTGCCAATTTCGCAGCTGGACCCCACCAAGTATAAACAGGCCAAGATGGCATCCAGCACCGTCTATGTCGAGCGGCACCCCGACGAAGGGACGGCGCAATGCCCCGTGGCGCACGATCCAGCGCAGCCACTGCCACCCGGTCATCCTCCCACCTCCAGTCATCCCGCCAGCAGTCTGAAGCCACCCACTGCGCCCGGCTGCATCTTCTTCAGGACCACCGATGATCTCATCGTCACACCTCCCCTGTCACGAGTGGGGAGCGCAAAGCTGGACGATCTTAAAGCAACAGCCAATATCAATCCGCTTGCTCCAGGTGCTGGTCAATCACTGGATCCCGACACCAGTCTTGTGCTCGCTTCTCGTAACTCGCAGCTGGCGCTGGTGCAGAGCAGTCATGTGTCAGCCATGCTCTCGTCTCACTACTCTCACCGCTCGCCCGCTTTTGTCAGCTTCACTCGAGAACAAGCAACTTTGGCAGGGCAATCCTCTTCAGCCAAAGCAGGCAGCACGATCACTCCTCCATCCACGCCACCCTCTCTTCCTTCATTGCCCACCTTCGATGCCGAGACGATCTCCACTGCACAAAGCAGGATCGCAGCGCTGGGCATTCCCGGCCCTTGCAGCTTCCCAATCACGTCGATGTCCACCGCCGGAGATCACAATCAGCGCTCGCCTCTTTACGTCATTGGCGGAGACGGCAAAGCGATTTGGACAAAGGAGTTGGAAGTCGCTCTCTCTGGTGGAGCTGTCGACGCTATCGTGCACTGTCTCAAGGATGTGCCCACTGCGCTGCCAGATGGGCTCATGCTTGGCGCGATTTTGGAGCGAGAAGACCCAAGAGACGCTCTTGTTGTCAAGAGGGGCTTGCCTTACAAGGTGAGTATTTCGAACGATTCGTGGGAAGCTGTGTAGCTCGATGGCTCACGTGCATCATCGCACCTCCAGACGCTGGACGAGCTCCCTCCTGGCTCTGTGATTGGAACTTCGTCCGTTCGAAGGGTGGCGCAGCTGCGCAGGAGGTATCCAGAGCTAGTCTTTTCAGATGTCGTGAGTGAAGCGGCGGCGATTGCAGGAGTGCAATCTTCTAACGCCAGTCCACCGCGCTTCATCAACAGCGCGGAAATCTCAACACTCGTCTCTCAAAGCTTGACGCGCCGAATGGGCCTTACACTGCGCTAGTACTTGCCGCAGCTGGACTGATACGATTGAACCTCACAGCTCGCATCACTGCCTTCCTTTCTGCACCTGTGCTGATGTACTCCGTCGGCCAAGGTGCGCTCGCCATCGAGGTCAGGACACCACCGCCTGGAGCTGATCCCCGAACGAACAGAGAGGCTCGGATTCTTGAAATGATCCGATCCATCAGCGACTGGCGAGCTACATGGCGGGCTGAAGCCGAGAGAGCTTTGCTGAGGGAGCTGGAAGGGGGTTGCTCCATTCCTGTTGGTGTGGAGACCCGATTCGCCGACCATGCAGCGGTGGAAGGACAAAGGAATGAAGGAGAAGCTCTAAGGCTGGTGGCCGCTTCTCGTGGCGTCGATGTAGAGGATACGCGGGAGGAAGAAGGGCATACGATTCCTCCGGACGAGATCACGTCCACCTCTGGTGCGCCAACAAGACCTGCTGCGCTTGAGAGGCTCAACACGGACAAGATAGATGTTGCTACTGCTCAAGCTGCCAGCACTTCTGCTACCCCTGCACCGACACCGGTCATCAAAGCTGCCGAAGAGTACTACCCTGAAGATCGCGCCGCGGCTCCCGCAGAAGGAGCCGAGCTCACACTTCACGCCATTGTAGTATCTCTGGACGGCAAGAGGTCATGCGACTACACACTTACGCGGCATTGCATGGATGTTGCGGATGCGCAAGCACTGGGAAGAGCTGTCGCTCAAGAGCTTGCCCAGTCCAGAGGAGCTAGGGCGATCTTGGAAGAGGTGGAGAGGCACCGCAAGCTGGCAGAAGCGGCGGACGAGAGGAGACGGAGAGAAGGCAGAGCTCAGAGGGTTGCGGAAGTTGCTGGAAAGGCGGAGGCTGCGGCGCACGAGGGCGACGTACTGGAAGGGATTGGGGAAGAGAAGCAGAGCTCGGATGCGATCGATGAAGCTGAGGCCAGACGCAAGTTGCAAGAGGTGCTCGAAGCTGCCAAGAATGGGAATGGAGATAGGACTAGAAGCGGTAGCCTGCTCAATGGCGACGTTCCTCATGGATTGCTTGCTAACGAGACCGATAGGAGAGGTATTCCTCGATCTGACGGTCTGCCAAAAGCTTGGGAAGTGTAGATCAGACGTCTGTCTGCCATTCCATGTTCCTTCATCGTCCCTTTCGACTTTTTTTTGCAACCTTGGGCTTAATCACGATGACTCTTGGCGCACGGCAATGTTCCGATGAGGTCCCCCCAGACTTGCGCGATGACTTCTGCATGTCATCTAGGTTCGTGATACTGACACGCTTGAGCGGTCATGGATCACAAAAATGAACAATCCTTACAAGACTTGATAGAGTGCTGCCAGATCTGCGCGGCGAGCGCGAGAAGTTGTGGTGGAGAGGGGTTCGCTTGTAGGAGAAGGCACAATTTGGTGCAGACACTGACGCGCATACGCGCGCGCGCTATCTGCTGTGCGTCTGGCGTCTGCATCAGCGAGCTGCCTGCGAACTCGCCGCGCGTGACTCGTGAACGTCACGTCAGGACTTCCTAATCGGCACTCGTACTCGTAACTTCCACATCCACACGGCGCATGCATTGCGAGCTTGCTTGATTGCACCACCAACAGCGAACGCAGCTCAGTCACGAGTCCGAGCGTATCAAGCTTTTTTCTCTTCTTTTGGAGCCTGCAAGACCTTTTCATCCATCTACCTGCTGCGCAGAGCCCGTGATCCTCAGCTTGGACACTGCTAGCACCCAACGCCATTCGTGATTTGCGAGAGCACTCGACAAGGGTGCTTTGGAATCCAAAATCCTGCCCACTGGCAATCTACAATGCCCAAGCATGCGCAGCCCAGAAGAAGCGTGGCAGTCAGAGCGCCAAAGCCGCTGCCTCTTCCGGCCGCTGTAGCTAAAGCTGGCGAGAGCTCGAATGTGGTGGGAGCAAGTGTCGGTCCGCTTGGGATAGGTTCAAGCATGAGCACAGTCGAAGACAGGGGCCCATCACTCACGGACGGGGCAGAGGCAGCTTCTTCGACTGAAAAGAAAAAACCCTTTGCTCAACCTTTGCCGCCCAAAGGTGTTAGAGCTATTCATAGACCCCCTCATGATCCTAAAGTCGCCAGTGCTGCGGAATGGAACTCTTTATTGTGCTGGGCTAGGAGACAGCGCGGACCTCAGTGGGACGAGAGCACCGGATTGTGAGTTGCGCCTTGGGTGAAGAGGTGTGGGAGGGAGGAAGGCTGCTGCGATGCTACTTCCCGGGCAAGATCAGAGTCGTCAGAGGTGCGCCATCGTCTCCCTGGCTGTGAAGCCAACCGCAGTAGCTACCTTGAGCGGCTTCATAACTGCAAGTCAATGCTGCACCTAAAGGATGACAAGGTTTTGATCAGTAAGCAAGAGTACGTCCTGATGTTCCTCTACCTCGTATCCGATGCAGCTGGCAAGTAGACAGGAATAGCGCAGCGTACTACGCTTTCAGCGCTCGACCGGCAATCAATACTGCGCTAGACAACACGAACAAAGTCTCTAATCGCGACATTGCAAGTGAAGATGTTCAGGCGATGCAGGGTGTCATTGGTGCGGGAGGATCAACTGAAATTCTAGCGTCGAAGGGCGAAGAGCGCGAAGGAGGGGTGGGATCCGCGAATCATCAGACCTCGTTTGATGATGGCAGCCCTCCTCCCGTCGGGCCAGGACGAGCGGGGCGTCGAAGATGACGACGGTGTTCCATCCTTGCGTATGCACAAACGAGTGTGCATGCTACATGAGCAAGCCAGGAATGATGAGCCTCAACATTTCCGCAGACACACTGAAATGTCCCCTGAGCCTGCATCAAGAGCACTTGACCGGCTGGCCCAAACAACACCGTATAGCCTTGTAAAATGTATTGACCATTGTAACGATATTCATGATGACATTGCCTACAAATCGTCAACTGCACTGTTGGTCAATTGTACACGAATCACGCCGATGAATTGGACTTCAGCCTGCGGTGGTGTAGCGCCCACCGGTGTGTACCTTTCATTGCAGGATGGACAAGAACAAAGTTCAGAATCTGAACTTTGCCATCGCTGCAGAAAGTATCATTGACTAGCCTCCCCTCCCCTCCCCTCCCCTCTCCCCTCGACGCGCGAGTGTAATTGCTGCTCTGGCGACAGATTTGCGGCCGTTCACGAACCCGGGGGTCCAAGGCGAAGCTCCGTGTCTACTTCGTGTTTCTTTGCAGGACGTTCCTCGACGGCGGCTGGAGCGGGCCTCTTGACCGAGGATCCGGAGCTGGACGGTCCAAGACTAAGTTGGAGGCCGTCATCATGGGCGCTAGCTATGGGTCTCGGTGTCAATGAAGAGGCGCTCGAAGCGACATTAGAAGTCTGCCGGGAAAGCATCGTCCTGTCATGAAGCGGCGCTGCATTTCCGACATGTGCGGTCAATGCCGCAGTACTGTCGGTTGCACTCAAGAGATCTGGAGGGGGCGCCTGTTTGCGGGAGCTTGGCATGGGGCTGTGTTGAGGTCCGAGCCGTTTAGCAGACCGACCAGGTAAAGCGCCACCCCGAGACGACTCAAAGATATTCGCTCCCGCCTGCTTCGCTTCGAAGGGGGAGAGCGCTGCCGTTCCCTGGTTCACCTGTCTATAAGCTGTGGCAGCATCATGTGGACCCTGAGCGCGAGCGATGGCCTTGAGTGCACTCTTGGCTCTGCAGGTAGGCGTGGGCATAGGGAAAATTCAGTCAAGCAGAAAGGCAACGGATGCAATGCGTGTGAGGGATGCTCACTGATCTTTGCTGAGGCCGGTCTGGTGGACGTGGAAGTCAACATCTTCGTCGATTGGGTTCTGGCGGTGTCGATCCTTCAAACCGAACGTAGTATTCTCAGGCAACACAACCTTGTGCTCATGCTGCAGGACCATCACAACGACCAGAATCAGCTTAGTTTTTCGTTGTGAGAAGATCGGTGTCAAGTACTCACGCCTCCGTCTTCGCTTGGCAAAGGCTGCCCCTTTTCGTCCCAAGCCCTACCACGAAAGTGCCAACGTGGCTCCGTCGGCGTTCGGTGAACAGGCGTCGAAGCCTGCGCAATGCCCAAACATCTTCCATTAGTCATGCGTTAGATAGGCAGTGTGTCCTCATGAACGCACCTCAAAGGAATTGATGCGCTGTCCAGATGCTACTCGAACCTGTTCCTTGTGTCGACGGAAAGCTTCGAGCATGTGGGCGGCTTCTGGCGTGGAAATCAGCCTCAGATGTTGAGCATAGCCAAGCCCCGCATACTGTCGTGCCCTCCTCACTGCGGTCTTGACATTTTCTTTAGCTAACGCTGCCTTCCTAGCGGCTATCGCGGCAGCTCTTTGATATGCAAAATTGGGATCTTGATTCATCTCGGGAGAGTGATGAATCTTGTGCAGTGCTTGACCGAAAAGTGCGTGTCGCTCAGCCTTGCTTGGTACTGTCTTACCATCTGGGCCAGTGATGCTGGCCCAGTAATGGGGCCACATGTCGCGTTGTGTTGTGCGCACAGCTTCACGCATCTAGAGACACCGTCATGGAGGCAGGATATAGTAGCCGATCAGCACCGAGCCCGCAATCTGTTGCTCACAAAAGCAAGAGCTAGACACTCACTTGTATCTTGTGGTTACTAAGATCGATGCCCTCTCTCACAGCGTACAGACGCGCAGACTCGCGCAGCTCTGCCGTCTCTTGAGGCGAATAGATGCGTTTCCCACCTTTCAAGACCTCAAAGGGCAGTTCACCGCCTGCGCGCTTCAGGATGGTCTGCGAAGTTGAGAGTTGGTTTGCGTGCAAGTCTCTTCGCTCGCTCTTGTGAGACAATGCATGGCCTTCCGCTGAATGCTTCCTCGGCCTTCCGCGAGGCCTGCTCCGTGAAATATTCTGATTTACCCTTAGCGCAACCTTGTGTGGCGCCGTCTGGTTCTCTGCCTGCGGCACAAAAGGCTCTTTTGACGTTTCACGAGGTCTCGCCAAGGCGGCAGTGTGTCGAATATCTTGGTTTGTTTGCTCAACCTTGGCAGAAAGTTCGGCAGAACGAGCCAGAAAGCGCGGGCTGGTAACTTCGCCCGCGTCTATCTCTCTCAGGCTACGTTGCTTCTTGTATCTCTGTCGAGGTCCTAGGTCAGAAAAGCTCGAAGTCGTTGGCGTGGTAGATTGAGAGCTCGTGGATGGGCTATAAGCTCGGCGCTCTTTTGCAGAGATATCCGGAGAAGCGCTTGGCGCTGAGTTGCGCGAGTGCTCTTCCGATGCTGGAGACCAGTGCCTTGATTGTGGACTGATCAAAGGCGATTTGGCGGCAGTCTGCCCAAGCTGCTCAGCTGCTTGAGCTGTGCGTCTACTTCTAACTAGTTCGTTCCATTCACGCGTGTTCTGATCCAGCAAGGCCTGAAGTTCCGTTGGCATTTCACCCTTCCTGAAGCCATGTATGGACGAGTGAAGGTCGCCGGGTGTTTTCCTTGCCAAGTCGGAGGCGGATAGGCGGATTGCGCCAGTTGTTGGCCGCGCTTTGGTCAGATCGACGACCTCTTCAACCTCCTGCATAGCCTTTCGGGCACTGCCGAATTCAGAAGGAAGCCGACGGCGTAATACTCTGGCGCTGAGATTTCCGCTCGTCGTGCGGACTTTTAACCAGCCCGAGTCGTGCGTCATCGAGGCGTCCCGCCTCAAGAGCTCCTCTGGAGGCGGAGGGAGATTGAGATCAGGAAGAACTCGGCGTGGCGGTGTCGCTGGCTTTGCACTCCTTTGGGGCGACAGAGATGTCTTGGCTTCACCTGAGCTGGTTCCGCGAGTGCTGTCGCTAGGCGACGGTCTAAGCTCGGTCGGATGGGCCTCTTTGTAGACATCGCCAAGTGTGCGAGACTTAGTTGCGGATGGTGAGCCATCACTAGAACTTGATGCAGCGTCACGTACGCGTCTGGTGCCCTGTCCTGCCTGTCCGGTAGATGCGGTCGATTGCAGATTCGAGGGCTGGTCGGCCTGCTCAGGTAGATGTGTTGCCCGAGCTCGCTGTGCGGCCAGACGAGCACTGCGCGGTCGTTGCGGAACAACGACCATTTCGTCAGCGCGCGTGCTTGACCTATCGTCCACCATCTTGGCTGGCCTTGCTTCGGATGGCCCATCTTGGGATGGCTTTCGCAACTGCTGCTTCTTACGTGCCGGTGGAGCCCCAAACAGCGCTTCATGCCTTTCTCTCCATCGCGTTACTCTTGAACCGCCCGGTGTCTTTCGCTTGGCTCCCTTGCGTTCTGGCGTCCATTCTAGACCGGCTTCTGCCGCCTGCATCTGTTTGTCACGCAGCCTGGTTCTGTAAGACCCTTCCGGCGTCTTTCGTGGTCGGCCTGGTTTGCCGGAAGGCGCAACCGGAGGTACCGGCTTGACTGGGTGGGAGAGGTCGCCGCGCTTTGGAGACTTGTTCATGCTCCTCAACTTGTCCATGATCGCCTCACTCGGGCTTCGGTGGTTCGGATCGATATTCAACGAGATCAAGGTGGCTCTTCGTTTATCACGAAAACGTGTGGATCTAGAGCCCTCTGGAGTATCACGCATCTTTCCCAACACCTTGCCCTCTGGCAAACGAGGACCGAAACGGGTTGGACGTGGAACGCCGGCGTACTTTTCCTTGTAGATTTGATCGCGACGAATGGTATTCTTGGACCCGGTCGGTGTCTTGCGCTTCCATCCGTACGGCCCTTCGTGCAGCCACACCCTAGCTACACTCTTGTGACCTGAGCGTGTGTAGCTGATGAGAGGCTTTGCAGCCTTCTCGCCTTCAGCTGGTTGACCGTTCAGACTCTCTGCGCTTTTGGAGATGGCACGTGTGGAGGTCTCGCCATTCAAGGCTTCAACCGCCTTCTCGATTCCAGTACTTGAGGCCTCGCCTAGTGCGCGGGTGATCAGCGGTGCCGGTGAAATTCTCGAAGCTTTTGCCTTACCGACCCGCTGCGCGTGCACACCGAGCAATGGAAGAGCAGCAGGTAGAGGTGCGGAACTGGGAAGGAGGTGGAAAGCCTTGGTTTGGCCAAGCATTGCTCGACAAAAGCCCTCATCTTTCACCTCGGAGTCGTCGAGGGGCAGTGAAGAGGATGTGCGACTCCAGCAGCGTGTGGGGTTACAGACAAGCCTATTCTTAAACCTCGAACTTGGTAACAGCTTTCCTTCGAGGGAGTTGAGGTAAAAGATGAAGATGGCGCTAAAGAACGATGCCACCAGCACAGCGGGTCGCGCCTTGGTCGGCAAGTTGCAGCGAGTGCCGGTGTCTTGCCAGCTGCCTGACTTTGCACCAGCTGTATGGGTCATCTTTCCTTCAGCAGATAGTCTCCGAAGGTCTGGCTGCGTGGCTGGTAACCATTGAGCTGGCATGTCGCTCTGAAAGATGCACAGCTCTGTGATTACCCTTCCACAACTTTGCCAACGACTGACTGCACTTGCGTTGTGTGAGAGTACCTGCGCCGTTTGTGAGATCGGCTCAGCGCGGACCTGTTCGAAAATGCCGACCAGCGGCTCCGGGTTGTGGTGAAGAGACGAAATGCAAAGTCGAAAAGAATCAATCTTCATGAAGGGTGACGAAACGAACAGGAGGAGAAAGCGTTGGCTACATTTGTAGAGGATTCGAAGACTTGCACAGCGTGTCAGCCAAGCTCGCTAGTCGTCATGGCGGTCGACCAGCGCCACCTGGACCGCGTACTCGCCACCCAACGACGCCTCCCGCAACGCCGAACGTGTTCACAATTTCGGCGCATGACGAGTCGATCGTGTATACATGCGCGTGGCGAATTTGCGGATCGTTGCGTCCAATGGAAGAGCGGCAGCGCGCGCAGGGATACGAAGAGTTGTATCCGATCATACACGCACTCATACCAGAACGAGCCTTCGCCACTCGGTTGAGAGCAGAGCCATCCACGATTACGACGGTTGCGACAAGGGTCGTGGTAGCCTTCTACCGCCAGGTGCGCTTCTCCTCAAGAAATGCCATGTGTGACTCCAAGCGACCTCTTGCACGAAGCGATGGGCACTTCATTAGCGCCACCAGCGCAGCCTAGTCAGCGCATATAGTGGCGCTTTCACACCATCGTAGCTACTCGCAGCTCCTTCTGGGAATCCACTCTTACAGGGAGGCGTCACCTTCCATCGACAGCAGCGTCGGCCTTCTCGAAATTCTTGGTTCTTGGAGGGAGCTGATAACCCACAATCCAGAATCGCTCAAATCGTGAATTGATTGCAGAGAAGATGGTGTTCGTGGAAGTGAACAATGACAAGCCATGCTGTTGTTAGCTGCTCTGGCAAGCGACGCACGACCCTTTTGGGGACGAGTTTGCAGCGTGCGCGTCAGCTGCTGTGCGCCGCCGTCAGCCGCCGTGCGCCGCCGTGCAGCAGGGGTGGTGCCGCTATAGTCGAGTGATGAGGAGCGCATCAAGCGAGCTGTGGAGGCGGAACGTAGCGCAGCAGCTGCAGGACAGTCACGAGTGATGATGAGTGTGAGTGGGTCAAGTGTCAGTCACAAGTCACAAGTCTGCTGGGAAGTTGTGAGTGCGCGTCTGTCGGGACTTCGCGGCTCATCTTAGCCGGTTCGTTCCCCACATTCGTGAAGCCCGCGCCGTGACTACATCCCACCAAATCGTTCTGCTTCTCGAGCAGAGCGCTCGCAGCTGGCACTTTTGAAAATTTCGCCTCAGCGGCGAGTAAATTCTTGACTAGAACTGTACAGCCCTACCCTTGAAGCAATCGATTGGCTCTCGACTCCATTCGGAGAGCAGCGCAAGCGAGAAGACCTGCTCTGAAAGTTTCCGAGGACGCGGTTCGATGCGCGCTGCTTGCAGACATCTCTTTCCCGCCAGCTTTTCTTGCACACTCTGCTGCCAACACATTCAATACAGCTCGACGCGACACAGCTTGAAGCTCAGTAGACCTCTACTTTGGCCCATCCGGCGTTCAAGGATTGGCCAAACGCCGCAGCGCTGTCTGACCTCGCGATCATTCACCAGCAGAGGGTATCAGCGCTCAAACACGATGAGTGGTGACGCGCTCACTGGGTCGAGCAAGGATGATGGCGAGATCGGTCTGCCCATGACGCCCAGGCTCAGCTCAACCCTAGTGATCCTAGCGCCAAGTCGAAGCAGCGGAAGCACGAGCAGCTGGGAAGCTCCCTGGATGCGCACACTCATGGTCCAACGATCCTCTAGAAAGGGCAGCTCCTTCAGATCCGCAGTCGTCTTCCCGGGCGGAGTGGTAGACGACGCGGACTTCGAGACCGCCGGTATCGCTTGTGAGGCCAAGACGTACAATGACGAGAAGGAAAAAAAGGCAGACGTCAAGGAGCTGGCGATACGGATCGCAGCTGTAAGGGAGACCTTTGAAGAGACGGGACTGCTACTCGTGCCATCTCGCGCGGAGGCGAGAGGGAGCATACCTCGCTGTAGAGCCGTCGGGGCTGGAGAAGCTGGCATGAGCGTGGAGGAGTGGACTGCGATGCGTGACAAGGTGAGACACAGATACTTCGTAGGCATCTCTTCCACTATCATGCCGATGCTCGCGCGCTCCCGGCCCAGGTGCATACAAGCGCCAAGACATTCTTACCGTTCCTGCAAAAGGTCTACGAGCGTTCGATTGGCTCGGAGCTTTCGAAGGGATCAGTTCCTGTGGCGAGCATGGCGGCATACAGTCGCTGGATTACGTGAGTGAGAGGCCAATCCAGTACAAGCGCTTCGTGAGCTTGATCGCCTTCACTTCCCAACAGGCCCAAGACAGTCGTTCGTCCGGCCAAGCGCTTCGATGCACACTTCATGCTGTGAGTGGCCACAATCAGTAGAATCTCTCTTTGGACGATCTGACCTTGATCATTCATGCGCTCTGCAGAACCGTGCTCGATGCGGAAGATGTTTTGTCACCTGCCAAGCCTGGTCCATCGGGAGTGGAGCGCATCGCGAGCGGGGGACGTCTCGGGACTAAGCGCAGACCAGCAAGAGGTTCAGATGCTGAGGACAGACACGCCAGCTGAGCTTGTCGAAGAAGCTTTGGCTCAACAGCTCATCATGTTCCCTCCCCAATTCTACGTGAGTGTTTCGAATGCCCTCAAGAGATGCCTCTGCTGACTCTATCACAGACGTCCACTGACACACTTCGATTCTGTAATTTGTGCGCGATATAGATACTTGCGGATTTGGCATCTGCGCTCGCTCAGCCTGTAGAAGAACCACTGTCCACTATCCGCCCATTGATCTTCAGCGATCCAAAGAGCAGAGACGCCGAACAGAGTAGCTCAGCACACGGCGGCCCTGCTTCCTCTGCAACAGTATCGAGCGTCATAACGGAGAGCCGCAAAGCATCGATGTCACCCATGGGACAGCTCACGGCGGTCGAGCCTCGAGCTGTGGTAGAGAGCGGAGCACCTGTGCCGAGCAAAGCAGGTGCAGCAGAAGAGCAAGGGCAGCAGTATGCATTTCCGCTGGTCTTGCCTGGAGACGTGGCAAGCTCTGCACCGCAGAGACTAGCAGCTGGTCTACCTGCTCGAGCGCCAGGCCGACGTCAAGGCCGAGAAGCGCCTCCACCGCCTTTGAACAGGGTCATGGTCAGTCCGAGAGCAGGCAACCTGTCTGTCTGCGGCGTCATCAGAAGAGGCATGCCTGGCTTGCACGACTTCACTTTCGGATGGCCGGGATTGGAACCTGCCGTCAAAGATGGCGCTGAGACTGCTGCTACCGCCCGTCTTTGATTCACGTGCCAACACATCACATCTCTGCAATGTCTCGTAGCGTCTCGCTGCACATAGCAAATGCATGCCTGCTGCAGTGCCTGCCTTGATGGCGACGGCCCCCATCGTGCTGTGTGCACCGTCTGTCTGTCCCATGGCACTGGCTGCGAGCGATCGGGCAAGTGGACGAGACGCGCAATGGGGTTCAGAAAGTAGCCGATCAGAGCATCATCAAAGCAGGGTAAGCCAGAATGGTGCTTGTGCGCAATGTGATGAGGGCCGATCAAAGCGTTGGGCATGTGCGAGTGGAGTAGTTCACGATTGTGAATGCCTAGCTGTTGTGGACAAGAAAGAGTGTTGCAGCAGGTCCAGAAGAAATCGCGATCGGCGATCGGCGCGCGCACGGTGCAGCTCGACCGTTCAGCGCAACCCGCTCCACCGCGTTGCATGCGACGTTGCGCGCGTTTCTCGCGTGGCAGCAGCAGCAATTCGCGGCGTCTGCTGCTGTAGAACTCGAGACTCGATCACGGCTCGCGAGTGCATGCATACACACAACAGTGCACACACCCGCACTGGACGACACCTCGCTGACCCACGCAACCATCATTCGTGACTTGATTCGGTGATTCGTTATCCTGTTCCCACGAGCCCTCTTGGGAAGCAAACGCTCACGTGTCGACACTCCCCTCTTGAACAGCACTTCTCCCGCACACAGCCACTTTGCGCGGCCTCTTCGTCTCGAGCTCGGACCCGAAGATTTGGAGCGATCGCCGTCATGACCGAAGCAACGACCAACGACCTTCCAACTTCTCCGCCCACTTCGCCAGGGGACGATGCGGCCGCACGTCGAGCTGCTCGAAAAGCTCGCATCTTGGGATCGGGCACCGACCGGCTAGCTCGCATCACCAAGACGGGAAGAGGCGACGAAGCCAGTACATTGTACCCTCCCACTTCCCCCTCTTCCTCTTCAGCCCGAGGCATTGCTCCGAACCTCTCGGCAGAGGCAGATGAACATCCAGATCCAGAAGAGATTGATCTAGCTCAGTTGGCTAGATTACAAGCTGGCGAGGGAGGCGCGATGAGCGTCAATCCTTTTGCTAGCCCAAGGGCTGGACAAACACACTTCAATGATGCGCAGTCTCCCGGAGAAGGGCAACAGGGACTTCCGTCAGGTTTCCCGCAGCTCCCAGCTGGCATGGAGCTGCCTCCCGGCATGGCGGATATGTTTGCTCAGTTTCAAGCAGCCATGGCCGGTGGAGGAGGCCCACCCGGTTCAAGTGGTGAAGCAGGCGCTCAAACTCCAACCCCACCCGTCGCTCCATCAGGTTCACGAACGGTGGAGAGGATCTTTGGCTTGACGAGAGTCTTGATATTTGCAGCTTTTGGTGCCTACTTGGTAGCTCCACTACTGCACGCCCACAGAGCCGTGCTGGCCGGAGAGGGAGAGGCTCATCATGTCAACGGAGGAGCATTGTTGCACTGGGCAAGGTTGGGGTACGAAAGGCCAAGCCCGTGGGATGCCGGCACTTTTGGTCTTGAAGAGCTCGGACTCGGTGGCATTGTGAGTGATGAGGTCCTACGCGACGCACGGCTTGGCGTGGCTTCAGCGTTGGACAAAAAGTCTGCAGCCTGATGGACTGCTTCGTGCGTCGACGGGTAGCTCACTTAGCTGAGATCACCATTTATTCGCGATTCCCTACATAGCCCGTCTTCTACCTCTTCTTGACTCTCGAGATCGGATTGCAATCGGCAAGGATCATGCTGATGAGGGTGAGTCACAAGGCGAGGACAATGTGGTGCACAGGAGTCACCTCTAACCAAACCTTGCGCGCTGCGGTCTTTCTCTCCCTATCGCAGCACCGACCACCTCCGCCTTCTCTCCTTCAACGTTTCTCCCCTTTGCTACCCCCAGCGCTCTCCTCCATCCTCCTCACAGGCTCTCAATACTTGACGCTCCTGAACGCCTTCATCAACGACTTGGCCGTCGTCATTTTTGTGATGGGCGTTGGAATTCTGTGGGCTGGTTGGAGGGTAGGATACGATCCGTTCGGTCAAGCAGGCGATGCGCTAGCTTCCATCGGATCTGCCATCGATCCCAACCAATTTGCCGATGCTGCTAGTCCGGCTGCTGTAGCTGCGTCGGCGCAGGGTGCGGTGGGCGGTATACCCGCTCTGGCCAAAGCAGCAGCTGAGAATGTCCTCGGTTCTCAACCCCCCTTTGAACCCCCTTACCAGGGTGCTTTGTAATGTCTCGATCGCGTTCAACGGGCTACGAGTAGCAGTAATCATCATAGATTCACGTTTGGAAGTCCCAAATGTTGCACTAGGAACAATAGCTCCCCCTTTCGTATCTGGCTGGAAGGCGCATGGGGCCAATCCAGCGCGAGTGAATCTGATCGTTCGGTGAGCCGCAGGGCGCTTAAAGAACAGGGTCGCGTTCTAGGCTCCGTCCTAGCTCGCGTGCTGGTGGTCGCTGCATGGCACACCCCCGTGTCTCGTGCAACGTTCGCGTGCGCGGAGCGAAGACAAGATCGCATTCACCCTTGAGGCGTGCTTGGGCGGCACCTCGACTCAGACTCCCATCATCCACCTGCTGTGCGGTTTGAGTTGCAATCAATCAGGAGCGGGAGTTTGCTTCGAAAACAACGCATACAACATTAGAGGTCGCAAGAGGGGGCAACACCAAGTTTGGCAAGACATCAGGCTTCGAAGCGGGTCCTCGACGCTATCGAAGGAGTTTCGACGAGCATACCAAAGGGCCACCTTGGCTTGAGGCTTGGACTGGAGCGCTAATTGGCGGTGGTCAACAACACGATTCGATTCCAAGCTTGAACTGGCGGCGCAGGCAGCTTCAAGGTCCAGTCAAAGGCGCCGAATAGATTCTGATCGCCGCTTACCAATAGCAGAATGGCACTGCCAAATCTACGAAGGATCTTTAGGTGAGCATGATGAGCGCCGTTCTCGCCCAACCAGGTAAGGGCGTGGCAGTCCTTTGATCTGAGATTCGCGTCAAGATGCAGAGTCACAAGGAGACTCACGCGCAGACTTCTTCTGTTTCTGATGCCTTTTGACTCTTGGCCACAAATGCGTCGTCATCATTCATCGCCTCTACCTTGCAGCGCAGCGCGCAGTCCAGCTCAGGAAAGAGCAGTCTCTCGACAAGCATTCTTCAGATTCGTGACCTTTATGGCTTCTTGCGTCTTCATCGCGCTCCTTTCGAGCCCCAAGAGAAGAGCCGCCTTACTTGGCGCGGGAAGTGGAAGCAGCTGACGTGAGCGCCCTTGAAGCACTTAAAATCTACGCATTGTAGGGATGAGAGGGATGTTCCGGGGCACTCAGCAGCCGTCCGGTCGAGGACGTCCACCTCGCTGCCGTAAGGGCACTTGATCTCCTGCCTCTTGGCTTGAGGATTAGCCACCTCACCCGCTGCTCGTCACCAATTTCCGCGGTCTATCAACGGGGCTCAAGAGGGAGACACTGCTTCTCGAGAAGCGGATCTGATCGCAAATGTGCACCTCCATCTCCACTAGCAAGGCTGCGAGCTCCAAGTACGCTTCTGCACGTCGCCTGGAAAGGGCCACAGGTATGCATTTCGGACGAGAAGGATGCAATGCTCGGTGTTTTGTAGGATGAAGGAGGAATGTTGTGTGGTGCGGTGTGTGAGAATTGTGTTCGAGAGAGGGCGCTTGCGACGAACGGGGTTTGACTAGTGTGTGGGAGACTGGATCTGCGAGGAGCAGAGGAAATCGAGAGTCACGGCACTTTGTGGGATACGGAGATATCGTGAACCAGGTAATGGACGAGATTGTGAGGAGAGGCTCAGATCTTGACTTGGTATGGGTTGGAAACCGGAACGAAGATGATGTGGTACTTTGGGAATCTTGATGCGCCCTAGCCTCGGAGGCCTGCCCACGATGCACAGAGCGCTGGCAGATTGAGCTGCGCAAATCACCAACGAGAAAATGGCTGAACAAGGGAAATGGAGCAATTAGCGAGAAAGGCATCGACCATATGGTTGGCGCCGAAGGACAATTGAAGTGTAGGGGAAAGCCAGAGCGCAGAGTAGGATTCGAAAGCCACAGCGGGAGCCGAATGAAGCGATTAGAAGGCACGATAGAGTTTCTCGGAGGTATCTTTTGCGGGGGCTCAGAAAGGTTGAGAGAGAGCGACTTATAATCGATCCTGCTCAGCGTGTTAGTGTCGGTCAAAAGCTAGCTGCGAAAGCACGCGAGAGACTTCATCCATCGTGGCAGGCTCGGGCACAGGCCCTCTGGTTGCCGATGGCGCCACTCGGGAGATGCTTGACGTGGAGGCGTGACTAGGCGCAAATCCTCCACCCGCGGGGGGCATCTGGGTCCCTACAGACGGCATGAAGCCAGAGTTGGAACCAATGGCGCCATAGGGACGAGGTACAGAGCCGGATGCGACAGCTTGAGCTGCCTGCTGAGACGCCAGCGCGCCGATATCCAGTGATTGAGTACGATGATTCGGCTGAGCTCGATGGGCAAAAGAGCGAGGCTTCCTCAATGCTGATCGTCGTGCTTCTTCGCTGAGCGGATCGTTGTTCCTGTGAATCAGTCCCACGTCGTCCGACATCCGAGTCGTGTGGTGCGGAAATGCAATACCAGCTCCAGAAGCGTGAGCGGGTGATACCTGGGGCGGTGCCCATACATCGCTGCTGAACGGTGCTGGAGCTGAGGCGATGGGAGACTCAGCGTATGGCGATGGATACATCGAGGAAGGTAACATCGGAGAGTTCGACGGCTGATTACGGGGCGTAAAGCCCATCATTGCTGGCATGCTTGAGCCACTTCCTGGCAGCGCCGAGGTTGTGTAGTGATGCCCGTGCGAGACCACAGAGGCTGAGCCAGGAGTTGAGTAATGCGATGGCGTGTCGAAAAGAGCTTTGATGTCGGGAGTGCTTGCAGCGGTACGCAATCTAGACCGGTCATTGTTGTATTGGTAGCGCAGAATATCGGTCTGGAACGAGTCCGTCGATTCTGTGGCGGTACTGATGAGCTTCGTCGCAAAGTGAGGGAAAGACGACGCGAAAGAGTCCGAGCGCGTTCTCTTGGGTGAGTCGTAGACGTTGATGTTGCGCGAAACTAGGAAATCTTCGAGTGCGTCCTTTGCGGCAGGCAGAAAATCTGCGTTGCTACGGTTCAGCCTGAACTTGAAAAGTGTCTCGGTGCCAGCAAAGCTCGGCGGCGCGATCGCTGAGCTGCTCGCTGCTCCGTCCATCTTTGAAGTTCCCACGACGGGTACGATTGTGATGTTGAGATCACGTTTGACTCGCTCAGTGAGCGCGACAAATTCATGGGCGGACACAAGCTGCGCTAGCTCGGCAGAGTGGGGCGTGCGGAACTCTGCCTCGAAGGGAACATGATCGAGGAGCATTTGCGCTGCGATGTGAATCTGAGACTCTGGACCGAAGATGGAGACCAGGTCGGAGGCAGTCTCCTTGGGCGGGAAGCGCACCGTGGAGCTGGTCTTGGTCTCGATGTCATGAATGAAGGTACCCTTCTCACCCAGCAGAGTACGGTGGTAGCGGCGCGCGATTGCAACAGTCTCACTTGTGTAGTCCTTGTCTTTGGGATTGACAAGCTCCATGACAGCTTGCTTAAGATTCTCCAAGTTGATGGCGTTCTTCGCTGGAGTGCGAGCTACGACGTTGTCTTCATTGTCTACGTAGCCGCCAAGAGCAGCAAATTCTTCAGCATTTGAAAATTTGACATAGACACCGTACTTTTTCATGATGCGCTGGATGCTCTTTCCGCCAACACCAATGATGCGCTTGTGATAGGCCTCGGGGACGTGGAAAGAGATTTCTGCTGGGAGCTCCTCCTGCAGGAATGCAAGACCCTGCAAAGCGCCTGTTCGATCATTCGAAGAAACTTCAATGAGGAAGTTGTAGTCGTTGAATGCGTCGAATTTGATTCGCACGCCGCACTGTTTCATGATTTTGTTGACTTTTCCGTTCTTTTTACCACTGATGAATTCCCTCTGGTCGTTGGCAAGCTCGATCTGGAAGCGGACTTCGAAATTGTACGGTCGCACTGCCTTCAAGTCCAAGAGAGAGCTCACAGCGGCACGAACTTCGTTCTCCAATCCATGCATCTCGAAACAATTGCCTTTGAAGACAATCTCAGCTCCTGATGTGCTGCTGATGTCCTTCAACGCAAGGGCTAACTGCGCACTGTCAAGCATTGCAGTCTGGGAAAAGGCGTCGTACGCCAATGGCAGCAGCCACAGCGATGCTGTGTAAAACTGACTAGTCAGGCTCATGACCGATCGAATGGTCCGTTCAATGCTGACGCGATTGTCTCCAAAGACAGAGATGACGCTTGCTTGACCGCCAAGCATCGGGAAGTTGATAAAGGTGCCGTTGTCGAGCATTGCCGACTTCAACTCTTCCAAGCGCTCCATGAGCATCCAGTCGACTTTGCGGGGTAAGACTGCTGTGTCGCGTGAAATGATGCCTTTGCTCTTGTGGACGGAGACCTGATAGAGCATGTCGCGCGCTCGCTGAGCTCCAAAGAAGTCCCCAGTCACGTAGATGGTGTTTTGCCTCGCCAGAAAATCGGGATTCGAATCGGTGACGGTTGACAAAATGTTGGAAAAAGAGGTGGGAAGGTAGATGTTGGTCGCTGTTTCTTCCTGAATCTTCTGGATGACGCAGCGCTTGCGACCCCCGATGATATTGTGCAGCTTGTAGTCAATCTCACACATCTCTGTGTGCAAGCCATTCTGGGAGCGGCGCGCAGAACGCAGCGGGATGAGTAAGGGTCGTCTGGCGCCATGATCACTTTTCAACAACTCACCAACTCGTCCAACATCACCATGATCCGCACTCTTGCCTGTTCGACGCCCTCAAAGCTACCAGTGATGGCCAGCTCTACAGATCTTTCGGTCTCGAGGCCATAGCCAAGATCGCGTCCGCGCGGCTCGGTGCTCGTCCACGACACGTGGGTCCTGGTCTGCGCAGAGATGGTGTCCAAGCGGCTTCTAGCATGGGGCTTGAGAGTTTCGGTGGCCTGGCCAACCGAAGGCTGCTGACTCAACGTTGGAGTGCCTCCTGCATGCTGGTCTGCGGCATTATGTACTATGTCTCCACGGGGTACCTTAAGTACGCTGCGAGCTCGAAATGGGGCGTCCCGAAGAATGGCACCGCGAGCGCTCATTACCTGGGCGTAACCGCCGCTCAGATGAAAGCTGTAATGCTGAATAGTAGGGCGTGGAGGTTGCGAGGGCGGTATTTGCATGGTGAGGGGTGCTGCTTGAAGGCTGTGCTGCGAAGCGAGCGAGGCTGAGCTGCCCATCGGAATGCTCGAGTATGGCGAAGCTACGCCGAGCATGCCGCCAGCTGGACCTACGCCCATACCCATTCGAGAAGGAAAAGCACTTGCCATGTCGTGTCCAAAGCCTTGAGCATACTGCTGATACGGGTACGTGCTTGGGAATGGTGAAGATGCCGGAGCGGGTAGCGGTTGAGAGGGGAATGGTGAGCTTCCAGGGTTAGAAAAGCTGGATTGTCTCTGACGCAAGTTTCTGGAAGACGCTCCGCCCGCTCCATCATCGAGCTCCACAGGCGAGACAGCAATCAAACATTGATGGACGTTCATCGCATCAGTTGCGAGCCGCGCTATGGCATCGCTTAGCTCAGCGCCCGTCGGCTGGGGCCCAATGCCTGACGTAGAGAGACTTGGCTGGGCACTATGTGTAGCGCTAGGAATGAACTCTGACGTCGCTCGTGTGCTCGTACCACCCGGTGTGCCAAAGGCGCCAGCACCGGCTACCGCGCTTCCACTAACGCTTTCTGCTGACACGGAGCCCCTGGATCCAAAGTCGAGGGATGAATGCGTGTCGACAGTCGACCTTGAGTCTCGCAGCTTTCCCGATTGAGCCAGATCAGCAGCCGTAGGCTTGGGCACTGTGCTGTCATCCGCAGACTTAGTCGCTTCGGCAGCTGCGTGCTCTGCAAGCTCGGTGTTCTCCTTGACTCCAGGCTGGTAACTTTGCGAAGGGCTGCCTGCCGTGGGCCTTGAATCTACAGACTGTGAAGGCTTGACGGAGTCCTTGGATGCAGACTTCTCCATTTTGAGACCCTCACCAATGGCGCCAGGAGCCGACGAGTCTTGATCTTCCCCTTCCCCTTCTGACTTCTCTGAACCAGGACCGACAGCTTCCGCTATCCGCTCACTGGCCCTCTTGCTGCCACCAAAGGCGCTGGGCATGAAAGCTTTGACGCTAGGTGGGAATCTTGAGCGCATGGATTGTAATCTACCAGTGCTGGGTCCCGGTGCCGACTGACGCGGTGCTGCAGACCCAATTGGAGAGGGAAGATTGAGACTGGCTTCTGAGGTCGAGCCGGGGGAGAGGAGGCTTTGTGAGCTGGACTGAAGGTGTGTCGCGGGGCTGTTCGCCGTGCCAAAGGGCCCGGACGCGGCATTGCGCGGCAATGTGAATGTGATGGAGTAGACGTCCATGTTGCGATGTAGGATGAAGGTGAAGCAAGGACAGGATGAAGGAAGGAAAGAAAAAGAAGGGACAAGCCCCACCGCCAAGGGTGAGAAGGGATTGTGAACGGCCTTGGTGGACGAAGACTCGGTCGATGGAGATTGCGCTCGTTTGGGCAGCCTGATGCATTACACGTATACTGTACGTACACAAGACCAATGGCTGCTGCTGGCTGCCTGCCTATATACCACCCACCTCTATAGACGCCGGGTAAAAAAGAAGGGGGCTACCCTACCATCATCGCCCGCGCCGCTTCACTTAACTCGACTCATGCAGCATGCATACACCGCCGCGTCACGTGGCTAGTTTGTGCGCCTGTATTCATAATGACTTTGGCCGTCTGCTGCGCGGTACGCAGTAAGCGCGGGTCCGCGCGCCGCGGTGCCGAAGCGCGGCTGCGCTTGCAGCGCGATGACGCTGTGAAGCACCCTCTCCCGCGTACGTGTGCTCTGCATGCAGCATGCTGTGCCGGCCGAGGATGGATAGACAGACGGGCAGATAAGAAAGAGGCCGCAGGCCATCATCAGCCTGGCCATATCCCTCTTAACGCTTGTGACTTCAAGCCGCCCAATTCTTCCCGCGCTCAACGAGAATCACGTGAATCGCGCTGCAAAATTGACACTGAAGCGCCCTTCTTCTCGTTCGAACCTGTAACGCCAGGCCACCTTCGCATACTTTTGAAGATTACCAGAGCAACACGCATACGGTCGTCAATATCCTGTTCCTTCCTGAGAAAGAACCCGACCCAGGCAACACTCCTTAGTGATTCGTGACTCTTCTGCTGTAGTCTCGAAGTGGTCGTCGCTCGAAAATACGAAAGGTATCATTGATACTATTGGCAATCTTCACTGTTGTGATCAGTCGGCTGCTCAAGTCCCAGTCAGTAATGCCCCTCAGCTTTCCGGCGAAGCCACGCTTTTCGATGAGCCCTCCTTCGCTCTCGTTCACACAGACTGATCTAGAACGAGGCATTGCTCATGAGGGGCAGCAAAGAAGGCATTCATTGGGCACTATCTCCTTTGGCTTCGATTCGGCACTTTCTGTCATGGGGCTTAATTCGTCGTACAAGCGCATGCAACCACACAGTAGCTTTGTCTTTGGCGACACCTGCAAGTCGGGTTCGCCCGATGTCATCAACCAAGGTGCAGGCCGTCTCAGGACGTTTGACTGGAGAACAATGAACGATGGACTAGCCAAGCTGCTGTGCTGGGTATATTCGCCGGTATGATGCAAGATTGACCTCAGCATGAGTCGAGAGGGTTTGAGCACACTCGTGCTCGAATGTTGAGCTTGGCGAAGGTAAGCCTATCCATATAGGTGCGCATCTCACCCTCATTGATATGCCCTTGATGGCCGTCACGGCGGTGACATGTATGCACATGGCCCATGAGGTGATACAGTCACAAGCAAGTGGCCACCAAGGCGCAGTTGCAGATGAGCCTCGTGCTCACGTCACTTCATTTGCGCCCTTACAGGCCCATGATGCGATGCCAAGGTAATCGTCTGAGGGCGCCCGACGTCGCAGGTGTGCGAGTGTGCACTCCCGACTGGTGCCGTACATGCTTCGACGACCTTCTTTGCCATATCCCGCGTCGAGCTTGGCAATCCAGATCGGTTGCCCATCGAACTTTGAATCCTTGGCCGAACGCTTCGTCGACGGCAATTAAGTCCTCCGCGCACGGACCCCGGACCGGCTTGTTTGATGCTCATCATTCGTGTATGTCGCGCGGGGACGTGATCATCAACCGTGAATCTGCCTGTATTGAGCAAAGGCTTCCCAAGACGATGCGCCAAGAGAGAGCTGCTACTCGTGACTGAAAGCCCTCCATGGCCCACCATTCTAGGGCAAGGCAGTGAGCATTGAGAATCTTAACAGCCGCGTGGCGTCGTGGTCTTATATTCGCCTCGGCGTGCCGTACGGGCGTGAGTGTATGCGTCAGTCTTGAGTGGGGCAGCGAGCCGATCGAGGCGGGCCTTGAGATGCTGATGAAGCGCGAGCCTGATTCGCGGGCTGAAATGAGGTATTGTAGGGCGCCACATATGAGATTCCAAAACATATCCAGTCGCAGGACAAATACTGTTGTTGGCAGATTAGAATCTGTCGGACGGAGGGTCACGCTTGATGCGGCTTTAGATTCGAGGTGGGGCCTAGGACTGGCCCCAATGTCCGTGATGGAGGCCCACTGCACTCGACATGCTTGGACGTGAAGGTCTTGGTCATAGTAACGTCAGATTTGCGGTATAGACCTTCGACTGCCCGAGGCTCCTCCTCTTTTGTTATCGCGATGTTCGACTTCGCGCCAGGTGCCGATGTAAAGCATTTCGCATCATGAATGCCGATGTAAAGCATTTCGCATCATGAATGTCTCCTGTGCTCAAGCCTCCGCTTTCATTTCAAACCTCGCACTTTATGCTTTCACAAAACGCTGCACCTCAACTGGGACGCGATATTGAAGTCTTCGTGAGGTCGTCAGGCGTTCGTATGTGTGATCGAATGCTGACACCTCGGCGATAGAGCTGTGATAGTACTGGTACTGTGTCGCTCCTACAGTGACAGAGTCTAGAGTCACGGGCAAGCGACGCGACACAACAACATGCGACAATCTTCACGCATTCACGATTGCTCTTCGTGGCTAGCAGCCACAAACAACGACTGGGGTATGTTGAAACCGCCGCACTTTTCGGGGTTTCGGTCGGCTTTGGACTAGGAAGGGTGGATGGGTTTGCAGGGGTCGGTCATGCAGCGATGACGATGACGATGGCACCCAACCACAGCACGCAAGCAGCGCCACCTTGTGTGATTTCCATCGTTGCAGGACGATGGCGCGGCGCCGCCTTCAGCCGCTGTGGGTGATGAGGGTAAGGTCTTCAGGCTGCTCCTGCTGCTCCGTGCGTATGGCGCCGTGCCGGGACACACTTGTCCCACGCAGCGCAACCGGCCCCAGGCGCCCTGCTTCAATCTTGTGATGCATGATGAGCCTTATAGCTGCTGGTTAGAATCGTAAATTCACGGTTACTGGTGACTGCTGCGTGGGCACGCCTGAATCCTAACTTCGCGATTCCCGCTAACTTCTGTGTTCACCAATTTTGAATGACGAATGTTAATGGTGATTCAACTTGATACCATGATCGCTGCTGCATGCTTGCTTGCCCAGCTGCTTTGCCGCATTTTGCCGCAACCAGCTGCATAGAAAGCATGCATGCTTGGGCTGCTGCTGCATCCGGTTTTGCATGCCTGCAGCCATGCCTGAACAGCTATAGCAACATGTACAGTATAGTAGTCGGCTTGCACGCCTCATTTCTGCTGGCTTGGCGCCCGCCGTGCGGCCTTGTCCACGCGTGCGTGTTCCCGCGGCGCTGCCTGCTGCCTCGCAGCATGTACTTCCGTGATGCAGTGCATCAGCATCGCAGCAATCGAGGGAAGGGCGCAGACGACAACAAGCAACAACAGACATCATACAGCAGCAGCAGTGTGCTATGCATGGTGCATGGTCTTGCTCCTCACTACCAATCCATTCACCATTCAGCGTTGACATTGTGATTCACGATTGTCATTCAAACAGACAGGCTCATGGACATTGATCACGGCCATCTGACAGCCCGTACAAGCAGAGCTTCAATCAAGGCACGAATTGACATCGAGCACATCCTGATCACATCACTCTCGCTACCCAGGCTTTTTCGCCCTCCTGAAAGTGCTAGTCAAGCACAGCCATAGCCATAGCCACGGTCACAACCTCAGCCTCAGCCTCAGCCTCAGCCTCAGCCTCAGCCTCAACAGTAAGCCCGCTCGTATCGGTGCCCCTGATACGTTTCTCAATTTGTCACCTTGGCGCGCTTTCTGCGGTGCATCCTGTTCCGCGGCCAACGTTCGCCCGGTCGACGTGCTGACCTGGCGTTGACCCTCCGACCATCACCATTCGGTACCCATCAGACGCGGGCTGAAGTTACCGCAGCCTCAGCAAGCCACACTTTGGAGAGGCACAGGAGACTTGCTAGCGGGGCATTGCTGCTCGGACACCCACCTAGGTGCACCCGCATTACTTCCAACCTCTCGCCAGCCCGCTGCGCGAGGTCTCTTACCATTGCAGGCCGTTACGCTAGCCCGGTCATTCGCTCAGCATGGCTGCGGTAGCGTCACCCCTTCTGAGCGGCGCCTCATCCAGCTTCCGCCAACCGCGAGGTCAGCCGAGCGACCGCAATGCTAGCGCAGCTAGTCCAGCAGCGAATATGACGTCCAAGCCTTCGAGTCCTGCTGTCCCCGAAGATGTCCCGGAAGACATCTTGGAGGACTCCGAGTTCGTGGAACCTGTTTGCGGAGGCTGCAAGAAAATGATCGATGAGGAATCAGCAGAGCAGGGAGTGATTCAGTTTGCGTGAGTGACATCGGAGGAGCAAATGCTCCAGCCTTTACGAGAGTGCAGGTGCATGTATGCTGCAGGCACTGAGATCACAGCATCAACGATGCCGTTCATACATTTCAGAGCACAATTATGGCATGTCGACTGCTTCAGATGCGCCAAATGCCAGAACCCCGTCTCAACGGATCGTGATGACATTCTACTGCTATCGGACGGACACCCGATTTGTGGTCAATGCAACTACTCCTGTCAGATTTGCGGCTTGCCCATCATGGAGGAGGTGAGTCCGCCAAAGTTCCACCCGAGGCCAGTCATCTGATTGTTAGAGCGGCCCACCACTCACAGGCCATCATGACGGGTGACGAGTCGTATCACGCATCTTGCTTCACTTGCCGGTCCTGCCATACGCCGATTGAAGAGCTTGTATTTGCCAAGACGAGTCAGGGCATCTATTGCATGTCCTGTCACAATGAACGCGTGGCAAGAAGCCGGAGAAATGCCGCCAACAAGCGCAGCAAGGCCAAGGTGTGTCCGCATTGCTGCTCTCAAGGACCGCACACGTGGTGCACTGCTGATTGTCCGGACTTCACTTTGACCAGCAGCAGCAGCAACAATCCTCCAAAGGTTCGTCGTCTCGCGATAGGCAGGGCTCCGCTCCACCGACAAACGACTTGCGATCTCCGTCAGCTCAGGGACACGCATCACCATCGCCGAGCAATCAAGACGGCTTATCTCAAGGGGTCAAAGGTAGTTCTCAAGACGATCTGCGTGCCCATTCTAACGAGAGTACGCAGGACTCTGAAACTCCTCGAGAGTTGCAGACAGGTAGCCCGTGGCAAGGATCTTCACAGGGCAAACCCTCGGCTGGACCTTCGAAAAGACCAACTGCACCTCCTGCAGCGCCGACTCTGCGTGAGCTTCGGGCGGCGGCGGCAGCTGGGAACATGAACGGGCTGCAGGGTTCGAGTTCAGGTGTTTCGCCAGGTGCGAGCAAGGTGGGGCAGGCGGACGGAGCAACTTGGACTAAGCACAATATTAATGGGAGCGGTGATGGCATAATTTCGGAGACAGCTAAAGCCGCTTCATCTCATACGCGGACCGTAAGCGGCTCGAGCAGCATACGTAATGAGACATTGCTGGACGTCAGCCCTAGCAATAACGATGGCTCGCAGACAGCACGCCTGCCTTCTAAAAATTCTAGCGTTGGACTAGGCATACAAGATCGAAATACCGCACCTTCCAGCGCACCTCCATCTACGGATACGTATGGAGCGCGTGAAGCAGAGTCAGCCAATCGAACGAGGACGTCCACCGAACAAGCCACAAGCTTTGCACCTCGTAGTCGTTCAGGCTCTAAGGCCAGTCAAACCTTATCACCACCCACCGATAGTCTTACAGTGGCGTACGGCTCCCCGAAAGGCAATTCGGAACGCCTTTCCAAAGCTTTCAGCTTCTACGACCCAGATTTTGTCAGCCTCATGGACTCTTTTGGCAAATTTGGGGACGCAGACGAAAGCACGTTGGAGGCGCTGCGGAAGTCGCCTGCGAGCAAGAAAGTATTGCCTCTCGCCACGCGTTCACCCAGACAGCATGGCCGCGATGTCCCGTCGACCCGATCTGCCGAGCCTGCCGTGTCGGCTCTTCGCGTAGTCGGCGAGGAGGGGAGCAGCAGCACCGATAGTAATGCAGACATCGACTTGGAGGGATCTAAGGAGGAAGAGGAGGAAGACGCCAGTGCTTTCCAAAGCCCCAAAGGGGCGGACAATGCACGAGCTAAGGTGCGAGAGTCCATGCGGGAGGCTCGGGATGGTCGCATGGACGTCGATACCGCCTTTGTCGAAGCGATTCTCAATGACTTGGACGACACCAAGGAACGCATGAAGACTTTGCAACATCGTTACGATAAGATGAAGGTATGTTTTGCTTGGCGATGTCTCCTGCACTACAAGACTGACTGTAGCCAACGTGGTCTTCACAGCGCGCGAGTCAGACAGCCGCACGTGGCTTCTCATCGGCACGGGACGAGTACGAGGCGGAGGTGCAGGCGAGGTTCGAAGCCGAGTCCGAGATGCTCCTTCTGAAGAAAAAGCTTGTCGAGCAGTCTTCGAAGCTTGCTGAAATATCCACCGAGAAGAAGAAAGCTGAACATCTGCAGCGCCGCTCTCACCAGGTGAAATCGACGCTGGAGGGTATGGAACGGGACATCGCAAAGCTCTCCGCCGAGCGCGATCTTCACGTAGCTGAGGTTGCAGAGCTGGTCGCGATGCGCTCAGAGAGGCAGTCGAGCGGAGGCGAGTCTTTGAAGGTGCAGGAAAACGGATCTGCATCTGACCTTCAGCGGAACCTGAGCGTCAGACTGGAGGGCGTCAAGGAGAAGTATCGCAAAGAGATCGATGAGCTCACTTTCGAGCGCGACGCGCTCATGATTGAGATCGAAGAGCTCAAGCAATCGCGCGACGTGTTCTTAGAAGAGTCGCAAACCCTCAACCATCGAAACGAAGAGCTCAATGGCATTCTGACTCAGCTGACACGCAACGTCGAGGCAGCACAGGTCCGCGCCGATCAGCAAGCATACCAACAACAATTCAGAGAGAACCTCCCGCCGGTGCCACGAGATCTGCGAGAACGCGCCATGTCTGGAGCTGGTGGAAGATCCCCAGGCGGTAAATTAGGCACAGGATCTCCTTCCGTGTCGTCTCTTAACGCGGACACCCTAACATCAGCTTCGGCTAGCGCTTCCGACACGACCATTCAAACGGGAACATCTCTACAGCGCGTCATGCCGATATCAAAGATAGAGGCAGCGCCGCCGAAGAAGTTCAAATGGATGAAGCCGAAACTACAGGATGCAGCAAGGGTAGCAGTCGCTGCTGCATCTATGCCGCTCGGTCAGTCTCCTCCTGTGCCGCCGAAGTCGATGAACGGTTCTAGCGGCGCTAGCTCGGAAAAGTATCAAGGCTCTGCCTCCGCAGTGCAAAACTCTTTGGCGCATCAACAAGGACGCGACAATGCTCGCAACGCATCGAACGAGATCGTGGTGCGAGAGCACCTATTCCAGCCATTCTCTGCGCTGCGACCCTTGCGATGCTTTGCGTGTCAGAAGAGTATGTGGGGCCAATCGGAAGTACGATGCGCTCTCTGCGGCCAAGCCTGTCATCAGCGATGTCTTCAGAGTCTGCCCACCTCGTGCAATCAACCGTTTACTCGAGGAGAGGACAATCACGAGCCAACGGGCCCTTCAATGTTTGGCAGGCTACTCGTCGACCAGGCAGCTGCAGAAGGTCGAGATATTCCCATTGTCGTCGAAAAATGCATCTCTGCCGTCGAGGCCATGGGTGAGTCGGGCTCTCGATTATTCAGAGTAAGGATCTGACCAGGCCTACTCACCGTTTCGTTTTGCTTTTGAATCTAGGCATGGACTACGAGGGCATCTACAGGAAGTCAGGCGGCACTTCACAGCTGCGTGTCATTACCCAGCTCTTCGAGCGCGGTCAGCCATTCAACTTGGAAGATGTGGACCGCTTCAACGACGTGTCTGCAGTCACTTCGGTCTTGAAGAATTACTTCCGCGAGCTTCCGGAACCTTTGTTGACCTTTGACCTACATGAAGACTTTATTCGTGCTGCGGAGCTCAAGGGCGATCCAGGCGCGCGCGAGGCGGAACTACGAGATTTAGTGCAGCAACTCCCTCGTCAGCATTTCAACACTCTCCGAGCTCTAATCAAGCACCTTCACCGAGTGCGGCTGTCCAGCGAAGAGAATCGCATGACCGCTAGGAATCTGGGCGTGGTTTTCGGACGTGAGTTATGCCCCAAAAGATGATATGCTCAAGCATTGCTCAACACTGCGCTGACCTTGGACTCCTTCTTTCATAGCAACTCTGATGCGCTCTGGAGATCCGTCTAAGGAATTCGCGCACATGGGAGGAAAGGCCATGACTATCGAGTGTGAGTGGCGTGCCGCAGCCACTGCGAAATGGCAAGTCGCAGGCTGACCGTGCATCTCGCCTATTATCCCAGATATGATTGAAAATCCTGAAATCTTCAACTCGCTTCGTTGAACATATGATCTCCTGGAGAGATGCACGCTTGTGTTCGGCAGCTCTCACGACCTACTGGGCACGTCTCAACTCTCGATCTGAGACGTGCTCTCAAATCTCTCGCGCACCATTTTTGCAACTTGATACCACACCTTCACACTCACACGCACCTTGCGACCGCTTCACTATCCAGCATAGCTGTTTGTTACACTTTGCTTCGTCCCCGGCTCATCAACACTCATCTGGAGTGCGTCTTGTACTATGCTCCTTTTGAGTATGTTCACTTGCTCGTCGGAGCTATGACCTCAAACCCGTGTTGGTCTGTCAAAGTCTAGCAGGACAGGGTCACTGTAATTCAGGATCTTTACCGAGTTGCTGTGGGTCTAGAGGCGGCAGCTCCCAGAAGCCTGGTTTCCATGGCGTGATAGGAGGATCGAGGGATAGTGTGTGTCTCATATGCGCGGCAAGGCCGTCGACGGACGACGCGTTCGCGCTGCCCTCCCGCGACTGCCTTTCTGCCGCTTGAAGTGTCGGAGCAAAACGCTGAAAAACGAGGTCGTTGAGCGAATCATGATTAGGAGCGGGTATGGACGGAAGGGGCATGACGTGAAGGTGGGGTAGTATCCTGTGCATGCAAGGCGCTTTTCTCTTTAGGTCGTTGGACAATTGTGCATACTTGTCGAACCCGTTCGAACAGAGCAGCAGATTTTGAAGACCTTTGATGCTCCAATTTGCCCGGAGAATTGACTCGTAGAGCGATCGACCGCAGTGGGGCATGTACACTAGCGTTGGTTGCTCCAGAACGTACGAACCCTGCTCGTTCTTGGAGAGACATGTAAGACCAAAAGACCCCAGCAAGTCTGTATCCTCCTTCGTCCAAATCGGGTCAAAGCCTTGAACGCTGCAGGCTTCTCCACCAAGCTGATCTCTGAGAAGCAGCAGGAAGCCAAGCTGAAACTGAGCTATCCGATTGTCTTTGACGCTGCCCAGTCCTAGATGAAGGATATGAGCTGGGCGTAATGAATCTGCAGACCGCACTGCGCTCTGTGAAATGGTAGCCCATCGCTCATCTTCTGCGGCACTTTGGTCTCCCAAGGCTTTGCGCACACACTCTGTGAGTGATAAGATGCAGTACGTCGCGCGGCTCGGTCAGAGAGTATACTGAAGGATGAGAACAGTTCGAGATGGCATCTCAGGGACTCGCCTGCTACAGCGACCATTGTCCTTTCGTCTGCATCGTGGCCATCCAGCAATCTGCGCTTGCCGAGGACAATCTCTCTTCGTCGGCTCAAAAGCGCAGCAGCTTGCTCGGGAGTCTTGCTTTGCTCCAAGTCCGCACGATGCGGATGAGGTGCAAATGATGGAGCCGTCCATCTTGCTGCAGCTTGTCCCCTCTTGCCTTTGCGACCTCGTCTGACCTTTTGAAAAGTGAAGTCCCCTGACGCCTCCTGTGAATCTTCTTGGGTCGACGTCATTGCTGCGTTCACGTGCGTGGTCTGACTCGCGCAGAAGCTCTGCACTCGAGGCCCACGCGGGAGATGGCAGAGAATCTGGCACTACCTCAGTGATGCAGATACCAACGCCCTTGGAGCTTCGCTCCGAGCTATACCAAGAATGATGAGCAGGGGTGCGGCAATCCTAGTCACGGTGCAGAAGCATCAGAAGCAGACTTGCGAAAACATCAAGATCCCGTTGGAAAGCGGAGCAGCGAGACGCGGTCGACTGGGCTGCGAAATAGAGAATGTTCTCGATGAGTATCATGCTGGGTGGAGGGTCAGCGGCCTCGCCTGCGCTCACGCAGGGGCAGCCTCTGCAGCCTGCACGCTGCCGCGCGTGAAGACGCGGAACCGCCGTGAGCACGTTTGTCGCCCTGAGAACGGCGACGGCGATGCGCGGCAGCAGAGGTCAGACTTCATGAAATTACGAATCAAGAATTACCAATGTCGACCACATTACACCTTGACCCCTTCGCTCACATTCAACTGAACAGACTCAAGCTGGAACGACTTGATGCTGACAGGCGGACCTTGCTCCAGCCTGCTCCCTTTCTTGTGCTCCCCACGTTCCATCGTTGCGCCGCAGCCGGCAGTCCTTCACAAGTCTTCGTCCACCGTGGTGGCCGTTCTACCTTCCTTGCGCGCCGTTATTGGTCCCTGGAGCGTGTGAACACTTCGATTGCTCAAGGTATTGGAGCGCGACATCCAACAACCTATCATACGCATCGCCGACGCATCAATCATGTCTTCACGATCCAATCGCTCCGGCTTCTCGACCGGAGGCAAGCAATCCAGCTCGAGCAACGCAGGTCTGCCTTCTTACTACTCGCAGTCACAGCAGGCTAGCCAGGCGCAGAGCAAACCTCGTCTCGGGCCCAATCGGTGAGTGACGGCAACCTCTAGCTCCGACTGGCCGCACAGCTGACGCGCGAGCACATCATCCGTACTGCCCGCAGTTCGACCAAAGCGACGGGCAAGCTGAAGATTCTGCCGAGTGAACCAGCAGCTCAAGAGACCGCTCGACCTCGTTCCCGGCAAAGCAATGGAACAGCAGGTGGACAGAATGGAGATTCTTCATCTGAAGAGGAGGGCGAGGAGGATGAGGACGAGGCGGATGAGAGGGTGCACAAATCCCTAGCGCAGATCCCAGAGGGCAGCATGAGGCGAGATGCTAGAAGGTTGACGAGGAGAGCCCGCGCTAGCTTGCCGCGCGTCACCGCTTACAGCACTGCTACGTGAGTAGTCGATTCCCCTGCTTGAAGATTTCAAGACTTGCTCTCAACACATTTTCATCGTGCCTTGACAGATCGTACCGCATGCGAGATTTGACCCGCTGGCTAGCCGCTCGCCAGACTTCTCACCGTACAAACCCAATGACTTTCGACGAGTGTGTCTATACGACCTACACCTACGACGATCTCGACAACTCGCGCGGCATCTCTTCACATCCTCACGGTGTGCGAGATGGATATGGGAGCACGACGACAAATAGTGGGGCACACGCGGCACCTAAGTCTCCTGCGAAAGCGTTCGGCAGGACGGGCGATCTTCTCGGCATACCTGAATTGGCTGATGAAGCCGAAGAAAATCGACAGGGAGAGGCACACGCTACACCGTATGGAGACGGAACGCAGAGTAATCCGACCTCTGGCACGTTGGTAGACTCCCAAGGAGCGGACAAGGACGACGAAGTTCAAGAGGAGGAGCGGGAAAGAAAACGATTCGAAAGGCGACGCAGACGCCAGGAGAGGTTTACGGTCAAGGGGATGCTACCGGAGGTCTTCTTCATGGAGTACGGAAGTGAGTTTCGCATCTCTGCATTCGTAGCAGACGACAGCGCGCCTTGTGAAATGCTCATTTGCGGCTTTCATCTTCGCAGCTGTCGTCATTTGGGGCATGACGCACGCGCAAGAGAAGCGTCTGTTGCGCGAGATTCGTCGTTTCGAGGTGGAGCGGTTGGCGACGGAAGATGTAGAGTCTGAAGATCTCAATTGGTACCTTGCGGACTACAGTCGGTGAGTCAGCTTGGCAATACCTTGACGCCAGACCAGCTTGGTGTAGCTCACACACCCTCCGCGCCTCCAAAGCATCTACAACGATGTGATTACGCTTCGTCGCGGATCGAGCTACATGACCAAGCTTTCCTTGTCGCATGCTCTCGCACAGAGTACCAAGATTAGCTTCTTCGAAGGTGTCATCGAGAACACCATTGACACCACAAAGGTGAGCCAGCACGTGGGAGCCTGGACCCTTTGACGTCCACGAACGCCTTGCTAACTCCAAGGATGTGTATGTTCTCCTTGCCTTCATCAGGACATCCCGCAAAGCATCGCAGACAGCGGCAAGATCGGCATGCCACCTGGGGAGATCATGAAGCAGATCGGTCACGTGAGTGCGAAGCGTCGGGGTCAAGGGGTATCATATACTGACCTTGCGCTTGACCTACTTTACAGCTCTTCATCTTGCGCATGAACATTCACTTGGTCGGATCTATCGTCGACTCTCCTGAAATCTTCTGGGCTCAGCCTGATCTGGGTAAGTCGGAAGTGTGACAAGAAGGCTACGTCGATATTTCGGGTACCTGACCCCCAGTCCTTTCACCGTCAACGCTCGCTTGCCCAGAACCTCTGTATTCTGCCGCTCGAAGTTACTTGGAGATTCCGCAGCGCATAGATCTCCTCAATGCTCGCGTGGAGGTCCTTCAGGATATGCTGCAGCTACTCAAAGATCAGGTCACCAGCTCTCATTCCGAATGGCTGGAAATCGTGGTCATCATCCTCATCGTGCTCGAGATCATACTCGGCATCGCGACCATGTTCGTCGATCTTTATTGGAGCTAGGGCAAACCATGCTTGATACGTTTTCGCAACGAATATCCAAACCAGACGCAGCCATTACTTTGATCTCGCACTGAATCCAAACTCCTCGCAAGAATAACCCGAGAGCGAAAGCATTGTCCTTCCTTTGCGCATACATTGTCCACGTTTGCAATGCCGTATTCTGCGGATCGTTCATCACCCCTGCTAGTCCGAACTGGCAAAGGAACACGTTTAAGAGAACTGCCCCTTCACGTTTGACAGGCTGTCCCTTTGTGATTGCAAACTGTCAGCCCCCAGTCCGAGGCTGATGCCCCAAGACATCGAGGTGCGATGGCTTCATACGCATCTCATTGCGATCTGCAACAGGTCTATTGAAGTTGACTGCCCGGACCTAGTGGTGCTCATCGTGGCCGTGATCATCCCCGTGATGATCATGGAAAGAGTGGTGGCCCTGCAAATTTGCAGATGTAGAGGGGAGAGGAAGGTCAGCCGTGAAATTGTGCATTGCGCGGCATTGGAAGTGAGCGCTTCTAGCTAGGGAGGCCGCCTCGTAGTTGCACAACGCCAAGGTGGAGACCTAAGAGAGAGCCATCACAGCGACGAACGCATGCGCCTGGCGGAGCTTCCTCTTTCTCGAGCTGCGTCGGTCTCAAGGTAGATGCCTCAAAGATTTCCAAATGTCATGGATAGCATCGACGCGTTTTGCTTCTCTATCCGCCCTCGTTCGTACTCTCTTGTCTTCCTCCTCTTCACGCATCAAGTGAAGATGAAACGTGATCCAACTCACGATCAAAGAAGCACCATCCTGCTTAATCCTATACAGGATGAAGAATGCGGCAAATCCACCCAACAACTTTGCTCCCCACCGATGATGAAACGCTGGTCTGTGCGGTGCAAAGTTGTGCTTGGGCGCGTACCACCTGTTGGTGGAAGGCGCGGAGTGCGAGGGTCCAGCCATTGTGATTGTACGAGCGACAGAGAGGATGGGCGCTTGAGAATGATTGGGCTGATCGAGAAGGAGCTGTTGAAGGAAGAAGCACAAGATGGCGAGTATCAGCATGCGCTGATTGTGGCCTGCGCTGTCCGCTTCTATGCCAAGATTGTGTGGGGCTTTGGCGGCCCTCATCAGAACGACAGGGTGAACCACCTCAGGTTGCAGTCCAACTTCGTTCAAAAGCACGGAAGTTCCGCCACCGAGATCGTTTACAACGCTCCCACCGTTTGCAGCATTCGATGTTCGACTCACGAGCTAATTTAGTCGTCCAGGGTGAGTCAATCGGCAAAAAGACAGAGGACGGTCAAAGCTCCAAAGCGCGCTTGATTCGAGATGATGGGGATGGGCAAAAGGTGAGCTGTAGCCCAGCGAGAGTGTTGTGTTCCGTGATTGCTCGATCTTGCAAGCTGAGCCTTGCGACTGTTGTGGTGTCGAAGGTGTACAGTTCGAGTGAACCGGCAGCAACTGGTGTGACTCCATATGCTGCGATGCCACGACAGTGAGCGATGCACCTGCTTCCTCGCGCGCCATTTATAGTCACGAGTCGTGAG